AGGTGCAAAACACGCAGTGTGGTAGAAGCCAACCAGCCACGGGGCCTCTGAAATGAGATGCAGCCCGGGTCAGAAGAAGAGCAGGAATTCAACTTAACGTAGTAATAAAATGCAGCCTTCCCTGTGCATGGCTTGTTCCAATTTACTGTACAAATTGTGTTCACATGTATTATATTATTTTAGATCTCACAAACAACCAGATGAGGTGGCTCAGGAAGTATTACTACCCTAATTTCAAATGTGGGAGAATCTCAGTGAAGTCTCAGATTGAGTGATTCACCCTCATGAATAGTGAGCCAGGGTGCAGGCTCAGGTATCCTGCCTTTAAGAACAGAACTTGTTCTCATAACTCCGGGATCCTTATGGAGGTTCCAGGGGCTTCAGAGGCAAGAGGGCTACAGAGATGAGCAGAGCTCCCTTCCCTTCCCTTCCCCTCCCCCTTGTCCCCTGGACACGTCCTAATGATGCCAGACATGTTCCCATGGAAATCACTTACCAATGGCAGCCTGTTCAGAAACACAGCAATGATTATCTGCAGCCTGGTTGAGTCCTTGTTTTCGTAAAACCTGTACTTGGTCCTTTAAAGGGGTCACAGTTTAACAGACAGTCCCTTTTGTCTTAATAATCGCCCACCCAGGCTTTCATTTATTTAGCCCTCCCTCCTTTTTTTTATTTAATCCTCCCCCTAGGATATGTTTACTGACTTTACACAGAGAGAAGGAAAAGAGAAAGAGAGAGAGAAACATCGATATGAAAGAGAAATATCAATTGGTTGCCTCCCGTACGTGCCCTGGCCAAGGATCAAATCTGCAACCTAGGTTTGTGCCCTGACTGGGGATCAAACCCACAACACTTTGGTACTTGAGATGACACTCCCACCACCTGAGCCACCCGGCCAGGGCACCTTCCCTCTGTTTTTAATGCTTCCCTCCCATTTATTCTCACTGTGTGCTGGTGAATTAAGCCAGTGCCAAATTATGTTTTATTCTTATCCTGAGTAAGAAATTACACAAGGTATAAAGCCTGGCCAACAAAGGACCTATCCTATCAGTGCAGTTTGAGGTTTCAAGTTTATACAGACATCACTCCCTCCCGGCATGCTTTTGTCCTGAGAAATCCCAGAGAGCAGAATTCTTGGGACAGCAATTTTCTCACAAGAGCAGCAGTATTCATAAGAAAGTGGTCCAATGGTGCTTGAAATTTTTGCAGAAAGATCAGTGAGAGACCAGCACTAGGCTACAAACCCACAGCTCAGCTCTTTTTAGCATCCACGGCAATAGCCTGCTGTTTTCCCAGGTGGCTCTGAATGAGGCAGGAAAATGCAGTGGGCCATTTGTCACTGCCCTAGGTGCAATATTCATACCAATTGGTACATGCAGACTGCAAAGCCCACTCCTGCCCATGTCTGGGTCAAGGCCTCTGGGTTTCCTTTGGACTAAGATTGGGGAGAATGTGCTCCCCTCTGAGCTCCTCCTCCTCCTGAGTAGATGATTAGATTTATTCTTGTCTTCTGGGGTTGGAACCAACTCAGCCCTTCCCACCCCGGTCAGAGGTGCCCACGCTCTGTGTGATTCCTCCAGCTCCTTTTGCAACTCAAGACATGGCTTTTATAGAAGTGTGGGGACTCCTATGCCGGTCTTAGCATCCCAAGGTGATTCTGATGTGCGGCGATCAATGGATATGCAGGTGTGTTCTCCAGTGAGTGCTGGGCTAGAGTCTCATTTCAGTCAGGTCCTCGGTCAGGTTCAGGGTTCTGCAGACATGTGCAAGGGAAAGAGGCAGGGCAAAACAGAGGAGCCCTGTGTTCCTTTATGCCCAACTCAGTGCCTGGTACTTGTTGTGAATGGAGTAACCTGGTCGGATGGCTGATAACATCCCCTTTGACTCCGAGAAGAGACTTGAACTGAAATATATCATCCGGAAGTGAAATTACAGATATAAAATAAGATTAAAGGAAACTTTACTTCTAGGTTTTAAAGACATTTTATTGTAAATATAGGTTCTACATTTAGAACTACTTCCTTTGATATGGACTTACTCTACGCTATAAGTAAATGAACTTGAATCCATTATGCATCTTAGTGACAGTCCCTTCACTAATCAGGGTAGCCTAACTGCTGACACTCCTGGTCTCATTTTCTCACTCTGTGCATCCCTTCTCCACCTTCTTCCAATTCCACCAAATGTAGGGAGGGAGTGTTTGGCCCTCTGACTTGGAATTATGCAAAACCCAAAAATAGACTCTCAAAGTGCAACCAGACATAATGATTCCATGCAGCAAGAAGGTCACTGTGTCTGCTTTTCCTGCCAAGACACCCCTGGCTTTTAATCTATGGCTGCCTTGTGAAGCAAGAGAGCTGTGCCAGGAAGTTACACTCTGTGACTGTGAGGCATTATGAGAATGTAAAATCATGTCAATGGGGTTTTGTAAGGGTAAGCCAGGAGGGGGATTAGACACAGTTTTAGAAAGACTGTCTTTGAACATCCTTTTTTCTGTGGCCTGAGAGCTACCGTAACTAAGTTAAAAAAAAAAGCTATCTGGCCCCAGCTGCAAATCAACTTCACCCACCAATTCTGCCAAAAATTAAAAATACAGCCACCCCCAAAATTTACTGTGATTGTCCAAGTAGTGGGATTATGAGTTAGTTTTATTGTTTTGTTTGTGCTTTTCTGTAGTTTCCATGACACATGCCTCTTGCAATGTCAAAAAAAGGCAACAACTCCTACCCACAAAGCAAAACTGTAGTAGCTGATTATCTGACTGTGTTCCTGGAATGCTCAGTAGCCAGTGGCTGAGAAACCCAACAGAGTCGTGACAGTGGCATGGAAGGGGCAGCCCCGCCTCTGCCCCCATGTCAGGCCTCTCCCCACTGTGAGCTTCCAAAAGGCTTCTGGGAGAGGCCAGACCACAGACCCTGAGAGGACAGACACGTGGTAGCCAAGGAGCCCAGGAAAGGGAACATGCTGAGACAGACACCTCAGCCACAAGGACGGGATCCCATTCCCATTCGGTTGTCTCTGGTGGACAGGCCAGCTCGACATGTGCTTGTTGGAAGGGACAGTGTCAGCTCAGTTAAACTGCAAACACTGTATTCTCATCCCATGAATGTCCAGTTGATGCACATTGTTTTGGAAATTGGGAAGATCCTGTTTTCCAGACCTGTAGGAGTCAGGCAAAGATAATAAGTAGAGACAAATATCTGGGAGCAGCAAGCCTTTGAGGAATGCCAAAAATCCTCTTCAGGTTGGGGGAGAATTTAGTGGGTTGGCCAGAAATTTTGTTTAATTTTTTTCCCCCGTAAAATGAAAGGTATATGTTTCATTTTCACCAATATTTTGGATTTGGATATTTTGATTTGGATATTTTTAGTATGTCGGCTATCTCCCACGTGGAATGACATTGATTGCTCTCAATGTCTCAAATTTATCACTATCAACTTCCATGGGTCTACTCAACTATGGAGCATTGTCCACCGAGAAATCTCCAGCACTAAACTTCACAGACCACTTTTGACACGTTCAGTAGGTCACAGCACCTTTTCCATACACTGCACAAATCTTTTTTTGCATTTCAGTTGCATTTTTAATTTTCTTGAAATAATAAAGCCAAATATGCTGAAAAAGTTGCATATTTTCTTCCATCTTCAATATAAAAATGGCTGCACAAAAATTCACCAATTTTGTTGTTTTTTTTAAATGCACACTGATATGACAGCTGTCACAATACAATCTAACAAATTTATCTTGCATGAAGTTAAAGACAACTAAGCACTACTAGAACCATCTTACAGAAAAAAACAAATGAACTTTTTGACCAACCCAATACTTAGACTTGGAACCTTGACCATCAAGACTAGAACTGACCAGGAACTCAGTCTGTCAACCAGTCTTTCCTCTATCTAGGCCATGTCACACTCAGGAGCTTCAGGTGAGCAGACTGGGCAGAAATGACCTATATGGACCGTGAAACTGTCATATCACCTTCAGACGTAAATAATTCCTCCTGCAAGTTTCTATAAAGCCTCTATTTCTTCAACATCACACGCAGACTTAGATTGAATGTCGTGGGGTTCCTCACCCCTGTGGGCCTACTGCTTTGAATTTGAGGTCAAGCCCATACCACACAGATCAGAAACAAAATTCCTAGCAGTCTGCATGATAGACTTAAGGGTAGGGAGGTAAGACTATCATTAAGAATGGATTATTTTTAATAGGCAGCAGAAATCTCATTCTTCAGTTTCTTCTTTTCTTCTCTATGTCCATGGAATTTGGGCAGTATATAAACAGAACTCAATGCCAGTATATTTATTGTTATGTCCATTGGGGAAAATATAACAGGATCATCCAACTCATCATTTCATGAATAACTTTACTTCAGACTAAAATAGATTAAGGTTTTAAAGGAAGTTAATTTTCATGACATATGTAGATAATTGTATTATGAACACAGATAGGGCAAAAGTCAGAATGGTGGTATATTATTAATTGAATGATTCATGTTTGGCAAATATTGTCCTACAAGGTGCTGCTTGGTCAGATTTGTTTTTATTTTTTTATTACTTTTTTAATCTTAGTATCTCAGAATGAAGCTGCATGAAGAATAAATTGCTTACAAGAAAAAATAGTTTCGATCGGTAATAATGACTCTAGCAACTTTCAGAGAGTGTCAACAAAGACTTATTGCTTCTCTGGTGCAGAGTGGGAGAACCACTTATCTTCTCTTCAGATCTGGCCTTAGAGCCGTCATTCCCTCCCCGGTCCCAGAGCAGGGATCCTAAATGTTTGTGTACACTGACATGTTCGCTGTCTGGTTCATAGCCACGTCCACTGTTTCCTGTGGGTCCCGTGTGTGTGCACGTGCATATTAAATGATAGCGGTTGTGTCTAGGCTGCCCCTGTTATTTATATTAAATAATGACATGATGATGTGAGTAGCCTGTAATTCTCCATTTTCTATTAACCACCCTGACCAAGCAAACTGTTTTTCTGATCTCTCTTAGATGGAAATCCTATGTGAATGTGGAAGCCATTAGCAGAGTAATTGCTGTCTGTTACCATGACAACCAGCCGCTGCAGTCACCTGCCCGAAGTGCTGCCAGACTGCACCAGCTCGGCTGTGCCTGTGGTGAAGACTGTGGAGGATTGTGGCAGCCTAGTGAATGGGCAGCCACAGTATGTCATGCAAGTTTCAGCCAAGGACGGGCAGCTGCTGTCAACAGTAGTGCGGACTCTTGCCACCCAGAGGTAGTACCACAATTAAAATGAAAATAAATGAATGTGTAATTGATCCAAAGGGCTCTTCGTCAGATGGAAAGTGCTAAAAGGAATGTAGTTAGTGCTCAGATCTTTGCATCAGGTGAGAGGAGGTACTGGGGGGAGAAAAAAAACTTCACAAGTTCTGCTTCTGTAGCAATAGGGTATAAAACTAAAATTCATGTTGTCCAGTTTTCCACTTAAAGTCACACTTGCAGAGAGCCAGGCAGGGAAGGATCCCACAAGACACAGGGTCCCTTGCTTCACATTTATTTTGACATTGCCACAGTAACTACACTCACTGTCTCCAAGTAATCAAGGTAATCATTTGTTAGAATGAAGGAGGCACCTGATTTCACAGGGCTAAACCAAAGTGAATAGATCTGTGGGCAAAACTTTTGAAGTGATAGCCAATCAGCACTGCCTGATAGGAGCACTGGCCAGGGCCACTTCCTGGCCGAGTTCTTCTCTGGCACATCCCCACTTGGCAGCTTCTTACATTGCTCCCTCGTTTGCTCCTCATGGGCCCCCACCCACGATCCCTCATACACACCCTGCCCTATGAAGTGTACTACTGTTAAAACCCCCACAGCTTGTCTCCCCTGAGCAATGAACCAAAGCAAAGCTGAAGGCTTTTAACAGCCCAGAGGTGTCTTGTCCAGGCCAGCACTTCGTCCCTGGACATCTCTTCTTGTGCTGCTGCTGCCCAGTGGCAGATTGACAGCTACAGGCTGCCTGGCCAATAAGTAAGTACACCTTGGCTTCTCTAGCTTTCTTCCAAAATGAGTAAGTGGGACTTTGACTTGTGAACGTAATATGTATATCAGCACCGGACTTGCCTCCTGATATCAGCGCTAACACTTCTGACCCCAAAATTTGGGTCAGTCATCACACCTTGACCACTTACTCTGGTCTGAGCAATGGCCCACCCATCCAGTGCAGATGCAGGTTCACAGATCAGAACATGTGCCTGAAGCGGGACTGCTGGGGGCATCGCCAACAGTTTCTGTTGCCACAGCCCAGTCACGGTATCTGCTAGACATGGTTTCACACACCCATGTATGTTATACGCATTGTCCATGTACTTCTAATTTGGGCTGCTGGCGCAAAGGGGAGAAGTGTGGGGGCCAGGGACAAATCAACATATATCTCCCCGCCTTCTCCAAAGCTTCTAACAGTTGCTTACGACTCAGAGTACCATGAGGCAGTGAGCACCATGGCTCATCTGTGGACCGAGACAGGTAACTGATGTGCATCTGTCACCCTCACAGCCATCAACCACGTTGGCTGATCAGGAAGAACGGGCCACAGAGCTAAAGTGACTTTGACTTGCGAGCCGAGCCACTGTGCTCATGCGCGTGTGACATTTTTACGTGTTCTCCTACCACATAGTAATGTAACCTGGAAGGTTTTTACATTTTACATGCAAGTGTTTCAGTGTGAATGAAGGAGGCCAGGAATAATGCGAGAAAAATGTCAACTCTGTAAGCTTTCTTTTCCTGCCCCTGAGCATGGATGGGTCTTTGGGCAAGTGAGAAGGAGGTCCTTTTCTCTTTGAATCCCCTTTTAGTCTTCACTCATTCTCAGAATCGTCTCCAGAGAGGTGATGGGAAACAGCCGTGTTTCCATCTGGACCAAAGATGACATCAGAGAGGGGTGGGTGTGAGCGTGGGTCACTGCCATCTTTGGGGGACTGGGAGGGGCAGGGAAGAGGGAGTAAAGAGGTTGGTCCTTGGGTTGGCACATACAGTGATGACTATTTTAAAATCTAATGCCCAATAAAGAAGAGCTTGAGCAATATAAGAACACACGGAGCCGAAAGGGCTAGTCCTCTCACAGAACACGGTATCTACTAAGAAGCGAGGTCATCTTCGTTTGACCCTTCCATTGGCCACTGATTTGTGGCCATGCTATTTGATTCTCCCTGACCTGAATTTTTCTATGTGTGAAAATAGTCAGCATTAACTTGGCATTTACTACGTGATTGTAGTCGAAGCTTCTAATCTGGACTATCTTTTCCCATTCTCATGACCACCATATGAGGAAGGCACCATTCTTTGTACCCATTTTAGAAACGAGGAAACCCAAGTACAGAGAGATGATATTACTTGTCCAAAGATAGCCAGCTGGTAAGCAGCAGAGCTGGCATTCAAGCCCAGGCAGGTAGACTCCAGAGCGTGCAGCACGAACCACTCTACCAGGTGCCTTCGTGAAACATGCAGAGCTATAGATGGAGGCCTCCTCGGTAAAACCTACTCATCACTCGTTTTCAGCGGAGTGTCCTGAGCATCCCAGAGAGCATCCTAGGAAAGTTCAAAGGACCGACCTGCTACTCAGCTCTGTGCTGTGACTCGGACACCACTTCTGCTTGGTGGTTTCAGGGTTGGCGGCCAGTTCACTTCCCTCTTTTCATCTCCCACCCTATTCAAAGGAGAAATGAAAGGAACCTCTGGGGATTGAAAAGTGGCCAGGTTCAAAAAACACAATTTGCCTAGAAATTACAATTGGTGTCATTTCAAAACAATTTCTGTTCTTAATGGCAAGAAGTGGTTTTTATTTTTTTTACTTGGTGGTTTGCCTGAATTATGTCTGTACCCAAGACAAAAATAACATGCTGCTTGTTTTCACTCACTTTTGGCCCTAGGCCACTCCCTGTGTCTTTGTACTGGCAAAAGTGGATGTGCAAGGACTGTGGCACTGGCTCCCACTGCCAAGTACAAGTGTAGATCTAGGATTTTAAAGCAGGCATCTTTTCTGAGCAGCTGCCACTGGGGATGGTCTGAAGGACACAGAGCCACAGGACCATCCCCATGGCAGTGGTTTCTAGCCCAGTGACCAATGGGTGCCCCTCCTTCTCTTGCAGCCCCTTCAATGACCGGCCAATGTGCAGGATCTGCCATGAGGGCAGCAGCCAAGAGGACTTGCTCTCTCCGTGTGAATGTACAGGGACCCTGGGGACAATTCATCGGAGCTGCCTGGAGCACTGGCTGTCATCCTCAAACACCAGCTACTGTGAACTCTGCCACTTCAGGTTTGCAGTCGAGCGCAAACCCAGGCCTTTAGTGGAGGTCAGTAATTGGGGCACGTCCTGAAAACTTAGCTCTAATGAGCAAATGATGTCTGCTTTTATGACCGGATCACAAACCCAGTGCAGCTTCACTGAAGCACAGTAATACCTCTATGTGAGAGTGTGGGTGTGAGTGTGTGTGGGTGTAACAGAGACAGAGAGCTCACTAGCTTATGCAGGTGCAAGAGTAGAAAGTTGACCTCCACGAGGTAGAGACATGAGAAGAAATTAGTGTGACGAGAAGAGGAAGTTCAGAGACTTGATCTCCATTTTTCTGTCCTCGTGACATGGAGCAAGTAGATCACTTCTCTCTTTGCACTCCATCTGCCCACCTTGAAGCAGAAGATCAGGGGGCATATTCTAAAAGGTCTTATGAAAAAATTATGGCCGCACAGTGGTTTGAATAGTACTGTGGCCTGAGTGAAGTTATTTCCCCTCTTGGAAGCATTATTAGGGTTAAATGAGTTAATGTTTTTATAAAGAATACTTTATAATGTTTAATACCTTATAAAGAACATTTTATAATGTTTTTGTAAAGCACTTAGAATACTGGGTACATATGCAAGTGCTTGAGAATGAAAAGAAGATCCTCCTAGGAAGTTGTGCACAGGGTTTTTTTTTTTAACAAATAACCTAGTATTAGAGTCTCTTTTCTTATAATGTGGTGTTGTCAACCAGTCATTAAGATGGCAGGACATTCTTTCTCTTTTATGTTTTAGGAGCCACATTATTCGTCTTTAGACCAAAGGTCTGGTCTTGAATTAGCTGGGGGAATTGAAAGATGTCATTGGACTATTTTTTGCCCCCTCCACTACCCTCAGTTTTTACTCCTCAATTTAAAATGTTATCTTGGCAACAATAAATATTATTATACTTCATGAAAGCGACCCAAGACATTGTGCCTATAATCCAGACCTGCTGGTAACTTCCTCCTCGTTTCAACAGCTGACCCAGTGAAACTTTGGCATGAAACTGAAGCTGGAAATCATGAAGCCCTGCTGGGAGACTATTTAAAACCGCGTGTTAGCGCCTCGGCACTTAAGGCTCTGGAGAACTCTGTGTATATATATTCTCTTGGGTTTGACCTTGAAATTTTAATCAGGACCTGTAACTGAGGCCTGTTTTAGCTGTGACTTGCTTGCCAAATGGCAGAAATTTATTTGACTTCCCCAGTAAACTCTATGCTTTTTTTTTAAGACTCTGAATCAAGTGACCTCTTAATTTAGCCATCTTGCTGCTTGACAGCCACTTTCAGAGAATCATATTTATAGAGTGCCCATCAGGGATTTGGCCCCCGGCCACATTCACTGGGATTTCCATGTTGGAACTTCTTGCAGAGGGGGAAATATAATTAAATAACAAACAAAGGAGATGAAGGTTTCTCAAGCCCAATGGCAACAGTTCAAAAGAAGTCTATTTCTCCTTTCTAGAAACTTTCTGGAACTTCCCCAAGTTGATATGGCAGCTTCTCTGAGTGAGAAAATCCTGCTTTCAATGGGCTGTGTCCAGCAGTCTTCTTTACTAGTATCTCCCCAGTAAAAGAGATGCTGACTTCTGCTCGGTAAAAATCCTAGTGTATGTGTGGGTAGCACGTAACAAAGGAGTGTGTGTGCATGTGTGTCCACGCATGTGCACACACCTTAGTTTTTCTCGGATTACACTCCTGCCGTATCACCCTGTGCACCCATTGCCTCTCAGAGAGGGAAACGTACCCCCATGCGGATGCTTCTTCAGAGTTGCCCTTGTCAGGCCACAGATGGACTCCAAGGTCTTAGGTGACTGTCGTTAAACGAGGAAACAGGGCAAATGACCCTGAGAGTGTGTGAGGTGCGCTGCAAGATTTAGGACTTCGCCTGCAAAAGCTTCACCCACATGGTCACCGGTGGTGAAATTTTCATTGCACAAATGGAATGTGACATTCTTCAGAGTTAATGATGATTGAACAAGTTGAAAGTGAAAGGCAAACCTTCCCAAGCCGGGGGAGGCTGGTCGTTTGATCATCCCATGGCGAAATGAACTTGCTGTTTGACCACAAGCAATAAAAAGAGGTTGTCTTTGGTTTCTCAGCTAGAGGCCAAATGAGAACCAGGTGCAGGGAGATTTTTAAACAGATGACATTACTAATTGACTCTTCTCCTTACCCAGGGAGGGTTTCTTTATAGTGAGCACTGCTTCTCAATACATTTACCTCCAAATACACATGAATCTTTTTAGTAAATCATCAAAACCTGCCAATTTGGGTAAAACATTATAAATGTTATTACGTTGGTTCTCATGTTCACTCTTTTAATTGCTTTAATCATTATTTACCAGTTGGATCTGCCTTCTCATTAAAACAAGAAAATTCCATAACATTTAATTTTAAAATCAATATGGTACTACCAGCCCCCATTGCTAGAGGAAGCAGTTGAAAAAGTCATTTATAAATGTTATTTGTCAGCACCCAAACATTAGCATTGGTCAGAATTGCTTTAACACCTTAGGCTTCTACTCTTCAGTGAACTCAGTCCTTCATTCAACATAACCCTTTACGTTCCTAAACAACACTGTTCCAAAGACACTTCCCATTCACTTCCTTTCCCTCACTCTCTACAGCCATCAGATGTTCATTTTTAATAGGTCAGGAACCCAGAGCTAGAGCCCACGGGCTTTTACATAAAGTCTTTCTATCCCCTCCCCACAAAAGGGTGAGTTTCTATTCATAATGGCCAATCAGTGGACTGGGTTTTATTAGCACCTCCAAACTGAGCATTGCCTCCCCACTTTGCCACTGACCACCTGGGTAAGGTAGGTCACCCAGTATGAAAGAAGTTGAGCTAGGAGTTCATCCTGATATTTTTGGTCTCTATGAGGCTTCATAGGCTAAAGGTCCAAGTCTAAAAAGTTTTTGTGCAAAAAAAAAATGCATTCTTAAAATGATACGTTGCATGAACATAGTTTACACCTCAATAAGTTGTGCGTGTGTGTGTGTATGTGTGTGTGTCTACTTGCCTGCCTCCCTACATGGCCAGATTACATCTTTTAGTCTCTTTTGGTAAGTCCATTGCCAATTTTATACCCTAAATATTTTCTTGTTGCTAAGTAAGCCAGTATCACAAGAGCTAATTTCAACCTAAGAGCTCCATCATGATCATCTGGTTTATTCAGCCGTGGGTAAATTTTCTCTACAGTCCAGCTAACTGAAGTCTCACAAGGCCTGTGTCCAGTCAGGTAAAGCTGGGAAGAAAAAACATTCAGACTGTGCACAGCACGGAGGAAGAGCAGATATAGCACACATGTGTTTCCCACCTACACAGCTTGCACTTCTCTCATGAAAGGCTACTTATTTTTTGTTGATGAAATGGCAGTTTGTGAGATGAATTAGCCCCAAGCATAATGACCTGGTAGAACGCAGTCCACAGACATCCACTAACCATAAAAGGATTCCCTGAATGACCAGCCTGAGTGGTTTTATGGCCTCCTTCCTGCTTATTTTTAGTTTTCTTCATTTCTCTTTAGGTTGAACTTTGATACCATCCTTTTATAAGGGCAAAATAGAGCAAACCAATAAAAGTACTATGACTTGTTTCCCCCAGCTGTGCACCTTGCCTCCAGCCTGTGGCCAGGATTGCACATCTGACTGAGCTGTTTCCCAGAAAGTGCATCTCACTATGTGCATATTGCGCATATGCTTGCGACATCAGTTTCTGATGATGAGAGTATCTGCCACTGGCTTTCCTAAGACATGTATCAGTAACACCCAGCCTTGCCCAGGAAGCTCATGAAGTAATAGATCAGCTCCACAGTGTCCTGGTGGAAATGGAACAGCCAGCAAATGGGGAAAATCTGCAGGAAAGGCTCCCCAGGATCTGCTCCTCCTCCAATCAGGGAGACATGGTGATTTTTCACGGAGTGATTAGGTTTTCATATTTCTATTTCATTTACACACACCCAGCTAACTGATAAGAACCGATGAATGACATGAAAGCTATTCCTTCTGCATCCGAGGTTTAGCTGAATGGAAAGTGTTTGCACACGTGTCAGTTACTTGGAATAATGGGACATAAAGCTACGGAGATGAGGACTAGGGATTTTTTCAAACTTTTAATTTATTATGTTTTTTCCTAAGTCACTGGAGAAAGTAGGTCCTAACGTGTGCCCTGCATTCAGTATAATCTCCAGCAGCGCAGCAGGGAGCCTGCCCCTGCCCCACAAAGTAGGGAAACCACTTTGTGCCCTGGACTTGCCATTTAACAGATCTGAGACTTCATGTCCAGCCTCCTAACATGTATGTATCAGGCTTAGGTGGAGACCTCGCCCAACTCTTATTGTAGTGGGTTTGGTTTGGTTTTAATATGTATTCATTTAAGTAAAAATGTGAGCTTTTGGTTTCAGAGTATTCATTTTTATCGGCAAGTCTTTGTACCATTGGGGTGCTAGGGGATGACACCATTGGGGATATAAGCTGATTTGAGGAGCTTCCCAGGTGGGAGGACCCCCCATTATTCCATTCCTCCAAGGAAAGCAGGCAAGCTCTCCTCTTTACTCCAACTCTTGAGTGCAGCCTGGGCAGTAAGGTGGCTAAACTGTAATCACTGCATGTGGTAGGCGATCAAGAAGCACCTGTTCATTGAATAAATGGATGGAGAACCTCCCCCAGTTGCAGGCCATATACCTTATTCTTGGCCTATAGTTGCAAGTCAAAAAACTGACCCCTGTCCCTTAAAGTTTAAGAAAGACTTGGTTGGACAAGGGCTTTTATATAATACAAACCAACCACACTTCTTTGAACAACACAGCTAACATGGTGATTCAGGCCAATCCTGTCTCCCACCTAGTCGTCAGTCTTCAGTTCAGTGTGTAGGAGCAGCAGGTGGCAGGAGCCCTGTATGCACTGTAACCAGCCAGGAGAGTATGTGCACTGCAGGGCGTGGCAGGGAAAAGCTGGCCTGAGTTAGAGAAGTGGGGCTGGGGGTGGGGCTAATCAGGGCACATCAGGAAGATCCAGGCCCAGATAGTATT